CCCACCCACTAACCCTCCTCTCCTCCCACCCAACTAACCCTCCTCTCTCCCCCCATAAACCTCTTCGCCCACCCCATAACCCTCCCTCCCCCCCACAACCCTCTCCTCCCCCCACAATCCCTATGCTCCCACCCCACTAAACCCTCCCTCGCCTCCCACCCCTACCCCTCCCCCCCCCACCCACTAACCCCCCCTACCTCCCTCCCCCCCAATAACCCCCTCCTCCCCCCACAACCCCCTCTAACCCTCCCCACCCCTCCCCCCCCCCAACACTACCTCCTCTCTGCCCACCCCACAACCCTCTCTGCCCCCCCATACCCTCCCACTCAACCCTCCCTCTCCTCCCCCCCCCAACCCTCCCTCGCCCTCCCCCCCCACTAACCCTCTCTCTGCCTCCCCCCCACTACACCCCTCTCCCCACCCCTAAACCTCCTTCCCCCCACCCACTACCCTCCTCTGCCTCCCACCCCACTAACCCTCCCTCCTCCTCCCACCTCCACCCCCACTAACCCCCTCTCTCCCACCCCTACTAACCCTCCTCTCCTGCCCCCCCACTAACCCCTCTCTGCCTCCCACCCCACTAACCCTCCTCTGCCTCCCCCCCCACCTAACCCCGCCTCCCCACCCCCTCCCCCCCCAACAACCCTCCTCTCTGCCTCCACCCCACAACCTCCCTCCCTCTGACCCCCCCCCAAACCCTCCCCTCTCCTCCCCTCCCACTAACCCCTCTCTCCCCCCACCACTAACCCTCCTCTCTGCCCCCCCACTAACCCCTCCTCTGCCTCCCACCCCACTAACCCTCCTCCTCCCACCCCACTAACCCTCCTCTCCTCCCCCCCCCCTCTAACCCCCTCTCTGCCCACCCCACTACCCTCCCTCGCCTCCCACCCCACTAACCCTCCTCTCTGCTCCCACCCACTAACCCTCCTCTGCTCCACCCCCCCCCTCTTCCCCACCCCAACCCTCTCTCTGCCTCCCACCCCACTAACCCTCCTCTCTGCCTCCACCCCCCTAACCCTCCTCTCTCTGCCCCCCCCCCTAACCCCCCTCTCTGCCTCCCACCCCACTAACCCTCCTCTCTGCCTCCCCCCACTAACCCTCCTCTCTGCTCCCACCCACTAACCCTCCTCTCTGCCCCCCCCACTAACCCTCTCTCTGCACCCCCACTAAACCCTCCTCTCTGCCACCCCCCCACTAACCCCTCCTCTGCCCCACCCACAAACCCTCCTCTCTGCCCCCCCCACTACCCTCCTCTCTGCCTCCACACCCCCCGACCCTCCTCTCCCTCTGCCCCCCCACTAACCTCCTCTTGCCTCCCACCCCACTAACCCTCCTCTTGCCCCCCCCCACTAACCCTCCTCTCTCCCCCCCAACTAACCTCCTCTCTGCCTCCCCCCCCACTAACCCTCCTCTCTGCCTCCCCCCCACTAACCCTCCTCTCTGCCTCCCACCCCACTAACCCTCCTCGCTCCCCCCACTAAACCTCCTCTCTGCCTCCCCCCACACTAACCCTCTCTCTGCCCCCCCCAACACCCCTCTCTCTCCCCCACCCCACTAACCCTCCTCCCCCCCATAACACCCCCTGCCTCCCACCCCACTAACCTCTCTCCTCCCCCCCCACTAACCTCCTCTCTGCCTCCCCCCACTAAACCCTCCTCTGCCCCACCCCACTAACCCTCCTCTCTGCCTCCCACCCCACTAACCTCTCTCTGCTCCCCCCCCCACTAACCTCTGCCCCCCCCCACTAACCCTCTCCTCCCCCCCCTACCCCTCCCCCCCCCTAACCCTCTCTCGCTCCCACCCCACTAACCTCCCTCCCCTCCCACCCCTAACCTCCCTCTCTCCCCCACACAACCCTCCTCTCGCTCCCACCCCATAAAACCCCCCTCTCTGCCTCCCCCACTAACCCTCCTCTCGCTCCCACCCACTAAAACCCTCTCTCGCCTCCCCCACCCACTAACCTCCTCTCGCCTCCCACCCCACTAACACTCCTCTCTGCCTCCCCACCCCACAAAACCCTCCTCTCTGCCACCCCCACTAACCCTCCTCTCTGCCTTCCCACCCCAAGAAACCTTCCTCTCTGCTCCCACCCACTAACCCTCCTCTCTGCCTCCCAACCCCACTAACACTCTCTCTGCCTCCACCCCACTAACCCTCCTCTTGCTCCCACCCACTAAACTCCTCTCTGCCTCCCACCCCCCACTTAAACCCTCCTCTCTGCCTCCCCACACCCACTAACCCTCCTCTCGTACCATCTCACCCCACCAACCCGGCTGTCTGCATCTCGTTGCCTCTTCTCCTGGCCACCCCCCCCCCACCGGTCTCCTCTTCCCCCTCACCAGCCTCTTGGCATCCTCGCTGAAACTGCCTCCTCACCAACCCCCCTCCCTTCACCCTCACCCCCTCTTGCCCTCCAAACCATCCCACCCCCCAAGCTCCCTGCCCCCCCCCCCTCACCCTCTCACCCCTCTTTCCTTTCCCCTGACACCCTTCAAGCCCCAGCATCAAAGCTTTTAACCCAGGAGAGGGTGGGAGCGGGGGGGGGGGCAGGAGGGGGTGGCACAATTACCACATTACCAGGCCGTTACTATGACAACCACAACACCACATCCAAAGCTTCTTCGCCTCCCTTGCTTTTGATCACAAGCCATCACATGTTCACAGATTTATCGCATTAGATGTGTGACTTCTTGTTAAAGCATATATATATATATATATATATATATATATATATATATATATATATATATATATATATATATATATATATATGTGTGTTTATTTATTTTTTGGGGTCATTTAGCAGGCGCTCTTATCCAGAGCGACTTACAGTTATTGAGTACATACATTTTCATACTGGCCCCCCGTGGGAAACAAACCCACAACCCTGGCGTTGCAAGCGCAATGCACTATCGACTGAGTTACAGGGAACTGGTAAAACATCCGATTCTGTGGTGGTGTACAGCCTACCTCCAACCTCTCACACAAACAGCACACTGTAGGCCAGTTAGACCCTGATTAAAGGGACATTTAAAAAAAAAAATTCGACTTCATATTCATCTTCTCCAGCACCACCCCAACATCAACGTACACTACATGACCAAAAGTATGTGGACGTCTCACTCCGAAATCATGGGCATTAATATGGAGTTGGTCCCACCTTTGCTGCTATTACAGCCTCCACTCTTCTGGGAAGGCTTTCCACTAAATGATGGAACATTGGGGCGATTAGGCCTGGCTTGCAGTCGGCGTTCCAATTAATCCCAAAGTTGTTTGATGGGATTGAGGTCAAAGCTCTGTGCAGGCCAGTCAAGTTCTTCCACACCGATTTCAACAAACCATTTCTGTATGGAACACGCTTTGTGCACTGGGGCATTGTCATGCTGAAACAGGAAAGGGCCTTCCCCAAACTGTTGCCACAACGTTGGAAGCACAGAATCGTCTAGAATGTCATTATATGCTGTAGCGTTAAGATTTCCCTTCACTGGAACTAAGGGGCCTAGCACAAACCATGAAAAGCAGCCCCAGACCATTTTTCCTCCTCCACCAAACTTAACAGTTGGCACTATGCATTGGGGCAGGTAGCGTTCTCCCGGCATCCGCCAAACCCAGATTCGTCCGTCGGACTGCCAGATGGTAAAGCATGATTCATCACTCCAGGGAACGCGTTTCCACTGCTCCAGAGTCCAATAGCGGTGAGCTTTACACCACTCCAGCCGACTCTTGGCATTGCGCATGGTGATCTTAGGCTTGTGTGCGGCTGCTCGGCCATGGAAACCCATTTCATGAAGCTCCCGACGATAAGTTATTGTGCTGACATTGCTTCCAGGCGCAGTTTGGAACTCAGTAGTGAGTGTTGCAAACAAGGACAGACGATTTTTACGCGCTACGCGCTTCAGGACTCGGCGGTCCCGTTCTGTGAGCTTGTGTGGCCTACCACTTCGCGGCTGAGCCGTTGTTGCTCCTAGACGTTTCCACTTCACAATAACAGCACTTACTGTTGACCGGGGCAGCTCTAACTGGGCAGAAATTTGACGAACTGACTTGTTGGAAAGGTATAATCCTAAGACAGTGCCACGTTGAAAGTTACTGAGCTCTTCCGTAAGGCCATTGTACTGCCAATGTTTGTCTATGGAGATTGCATGGCTGTGTGCTCGATTGGCTAAAATAGCCGAATCCACTAATTTGAACGGGAGTCCACATACTTTTTTATATATATTGTATGTGAAAATGGGGCGTGTCTATGTTTTGTAGTAAAAAAGATAGAGGAAGATAAATGTTTCCAATGACATCATCAACCAATTAGTAGACAATTAGTAGACAATTAGCAGGCAATTAGAAGGCAATTAGCAGGCAATGCCTACTCATAATTGGTTGAAATCACACGATGAAACACTCATCTTCCTCTATCTTTTTTACTACCAAACCTAGAAAGGCTCCATTTTCACATATGTTGATGTTGAGGTGGTGCTGGAGACGACGAATATGAAGTTGAAAAATTGGGAAATTTCACTTTAAGCCTAGTCCTGGGCCCTTGGACTTCATCACTAGGACTTCATCACTAGGACTTCATCACTAGGACTTCATCACTAGGACTTCATCACTAGGACTTCATCACTACGTCTTGGTCTTGGACTTTAATCACTAGGACTTAATCACTACGTCTTAGTCTTGGACTTAATCACTAGGACTTAGTCACTAGGACTTAATCACTACGTCTTAGTCTTGGACTTAATCACTAGGACTAGACTTAAATCATTTCTTGGACTACGTATCACAATGACCACAGCAGCTGGCAAGACAGTCTGTTAGGGTTAGGGTTAAAGGTTAGGGTTCAGACTTACCCTCAGTGTGTGAGTATCCCTCCATTAGGGTTAGGGTTAAAGGTTAGGGTTCAGACTCACCCTCAGTGTGTGAGTATCCCTCCATTAGGGTTAGGGATAAAGGTTAGGGTTCAGACTCACCCTCAGTGTGTGAGTATCCCTCCATTAGGGTTAGGGTTAAAGGTTAGGGTTCAGACTTACCCTCAGTGTGTGAGTATCCCTCGGCGGTGACCTTCCATTGGATGAGGACCCCCAGCAATGCCAGGACAGGCCACACCCCCATGATGACCCAGGTGAACCAGCAGACAGTACGGGGCGGAGCCACCTTGATCCTCTCGAATATGTATCTGTAAAATATAATATCATGTGTAATATATAATATGTACAGTATCTGTAATATATAATATCATATGTTATATATAATGTGTATCTGTAATATATAATATGTATCTGTAATATATAATATTTATCTGTAATATATAATATAATATGTAATATGTATCTGTAATATATAATATCATATGCAATATATAATATATATCTGTAATATATAATATGTATCTGTAATATATAATATCATATGTAATATATAATCTCATATGTAATATATAATATATATCTGTAATATGTAATATGTATCTGTAATATATAATATCATATGTAATATATAATATATATCTGTAATATATAATATGTATCTGTAATATATAACATAATATGTAATATATAATATGTATCTATAATATACAGTGCATTGGAAAGTATTCAGACCCCTTGACTTTTTCCACTTTTTGTTATGTTACAGCCTTATTCTAAAACAAATTAAATTTCCCCCCAACAATCTACACATGATACCCCATAATGACAAAGCGAAAACAGGTTTTTAGAAATGTTTGCAAATGTATTAAAAATAAAAAACAGAAATACCATATTTACATAAGTATTCAGACTCTTTGCTATGAGACTCGAAATTGAGTTCAGGTGCATCCTGTTTCCATTGATCATCCTTCAGATGTTTCTACAACTTGGAGTCCACCTGTGGTAAATTCAATTGATTGGACATGATTTTGAAAGGCACACACCTGTCTATATAAGGTCCCCCAGTTGACAGTGCACGTCAGAGCAAAATCCAAGCCATTAGGTAGAAGGAATTGTCTGTAGAGCTCTGAGACAGGATTGTGTTGAGGCACAGCTCTGGGGAAGGGTAGCAAAACATTTCTGCAGCATTCAAGGTCCCCAGGAACCCAGTGGCCTCCATCATTCCTAATTGGAAGAAGTTTGGAACCGCCAAGACTCTTCCTAGAGCTGGCCGCCCGGCCAAACTGAGCAATCGGGGGAGAAGGGCCTTGGTCAGGGAGGTGACCAAGAACCCGATGGTCACTCTGACAAAGTTCCAGAGTTCCTCTGTGGAGATGGGAGAACCTTCCAGAAGGACAACCATCTCTGCAGCACTCCACCAATCAGGCCTTTATGGTAGACTGGCCAGATGGAAGCCATTCCTCAGTAAAAGGCACATGACAGCCTGCTTGGAGTTTGCCAAAAGGCACCTAAAGGACTCTCAGACCATGAGAAACAAGATTCTCTGGTCTGATGAAACCAAGATTGAATTACTTGGCCTGAATGCCAAGCGTCACGTCTGGAGGAAACCTGGCACCATCCCTACAGTGAAGCATGGTGGTGGCAGCATCATGCTGTGGGGATGATTTTCAGCGGCAGGGACTGGGAGACTAGTCAGGATCGAGGGAAAGATGAACGGAGCGAGAGAGAGATCCTTGATGAAAACCTGCTCCAGAGTGCTCAGGACCTCAGACTGGGACGAAGGTTCACCTTCCAACAGGACAACGACCCTAAGCACACAGCCAAGACAAAGCAAGAGTGGCTTCAGGACAAGTCTCTGAATGTCCTTGAGTGGCCCAGCCAGAGCCCGGACTTGAACCCGATCTAACATCTCTGGAGAGACCTGAAAATAGCTGTGCAGCGACGATCCCCATCCAACCTGAAAGAGCTTGAGAGGATCTGCAGAGAAGAATGGGAAAAACTCCCCAAATACAGGTGTGCCAAGCTTGTAGCGTCATACCCAAGAAAACTTGAGGCTGTAATCGCTGCCAAAGATTCTTCAACAAAGTACTGAGTAAAGGGTCTGAATACTTATGTAAATATGATATTTCCAAAAACAAAACAAAACGCAAAAAAATATAAAAAACTGTTTTTGCTTTGTCATTATGGGGTATTGTGTGTAGATTGATGAGGGGGAAAAAACTATTTAATCAATTTTATAATAAAGCTGTAACGTAGCAAAATGTGGAAAAAGTCAAGGGATCTGAATACTTTCCGAATGCACGGTATAATATCATCTGTAATATATAATATGTATCTGTAATATATAATATATATCTATATATATATATATTCATATGTAATATATAATATCATCTGAAATCTTGATTAGAGCACCAGCACACCACAGATGCTCCTATCCAAAGCCACTTACAGTGGCCCCAAGAGCCTGCATTGGAAGCACCACGCTCTGCCAACTGAACCACAGCGGAGAGGAGAGGAGAGGAGAGGAGAGGAGAGAGCAGTAATAACATACCTGACAAGGGCGAACAGTTCGATGAAGTAGTCCACAGTGACGGTGATGACAGCCGAGCCAAACACAGCGGTGGAGAGGGTGGTGAAGAAGCGCTGCCATTGGAGGGTGAGGACGGCGAACAGCATGCCTGACCCCAACAACACCCCCAGGGGCACCCAAACCGTCCGGGGGTGGTGGAACTCCTCCATTACCACCTGAATGGAGATATGTTAAGTTTAGTTTATTCAGATAGCCAATAGTACACCAGGACACATGTTCTCAGCTACTATCTAATCAACGTAACCTTGACATTATCCCACCCCTGGATAGCCACTATTGGCTTAAAATGACATTATCCCACCCCTGGATAGCCACTATTGGCTTAAAATGACATTATCCCACCCCTGGATAGCCACTATTGGCTTAAAATGACATTATCCCACCCCTGGATAGCCACTATTGGCTTAAAAATGCCAAACCTATCACAATACATGCCAATTCATTTCCAGCAATATAGCCCTTGTCTATCACTCCGTCTGTAGTTTATGTATTTGTATTTATTAAGGATCCCCATTAGTTCCTGCCAAGGCAGCAGCTACTCTTCCTGGGGTCCTGCAACATTAAGGCAGTTATTTACAATTTAAAAATATTACATGACATTATATTTCATAACACTTCACCCAATACATTTAGTGTGTTCCCTCAGGCCACTACTCCACTATCACATATTTACAATACAACATCCATGTGTACGTGTGTGTAGAGTGAGTGTCTATATGTATGTGTGTATGTACCTGTGTGTGTGTGTCTCTTCACAGTCCCTGCTGTTCCACAAGGTGTATTTCTACCAGTTTCTTTTTTTTTTTTTTATCTGATTCTACTGCTTGCATCGCTACCTGATGTGGAATAGAGTTCCATGTAGTCATGGCTCTATGTAGTACTGTGCACCTCCCATAGTCCGTTCTGGACTTGGGGACTGTGAAGAGACCTCTGGTGGCATGTCTTTTGGGGTATGCATGGGTGTCCGAGCAGTGTGCCAGTATTCCAGACAGACAGCTCGGTACATTCAGCTCGTCGACACCTCTCACAAAAACAAGCAGTGATTAACACAAAGTCAATCTCTCTTCCACTCTGAGCCAGGAGAGACTGACATGCATGTCATCAATGTTAGCTCTCCGTGTACTTTTAAGGGCCAAACGTGCTGCCCTGTTCTGAGCCAACTGCAATTTTCCCAAGTCCCTCTTTGTGGCACCTGACCACACTACTGAACAGTAGTCCAGGTGCGACAAAACTATGGCCTGTAGGACCTGCCTTGTTGATAGTGTTGTTAAGAAGGCAGAGCAGCACTTAATTATGGACAGACTTCTCCCCATCTTAGCTACTGTTGTATCAATATGCTTTGACCATGACAGTCTACAATCCAGGATTACACCATGCAGTTTAGTCACCTCAACGTGCTCAATTTCCACATTATTCATTACGAGATGTAGTTGAGGTTTAGGGTTTAGTGAATGATTTGACCCAAATACAATGCTTTTAGTTTTGGAAATATTCAGAACTAACTTATTCCTTGCCACCCATTCCGAAAATAACTGCAAATCTTTGTTAAGTGTTGCAGTTATTTCAGTTGCTGTAGTAGCTGACGTGTATAGTGTTGAGTCATCCGCATACATAGACAAACTGGCTTTACTCAAAGCCAGCGGCATGTCGTTAGTAAAGATGGAAAAAAGTAAGGGGCCTAGACAGCTGCCCTGGGGAATTCCTGATTCTACCTGGATTATGTTTGAGAGCCTTCCATTAAAGAGCACCCTCTGTGTTCTGTTATACAAGTAACTCTTTATCCACATTATAGCAGGGGGTGTAAAGCCATAACACATACATTTTTCCAGCAGCAGACTATGATTGATAATGTCAAAAGCCGCACTGAAGTCTAACAAAACAGCCCCCACAATCTTTTTATCATCAATTTCTCTCAGCCAATCATCAGTCATTTGTGTAAGTGCTGTGCTTGTTGAATGTCCTTTTCTATAACCATGCTGAAAGTTTGTTGTCAATTTGTTTACAGTAAAATAGCATTGTATCTGGTCAAACACCCTTTTTTCCAATAGTTTAGGTTGGTAACAGGCTGATTGGTCAGCTATTTGAGCCAGTAAAGGGGGCTTTACTATTCTTAGGTAGCAAAATGACTTTTGCTTCCCTCCAAGCCTGGGGGCACACACATTCTAGTAGGCTTAAATTGAAAATATGGCAAATAGGAGTGGCAATATTGTCCGCTATTATCCTCAGCAATTTTCCATCCAAGTTGTCAGACGCCGGTGGCTTGTCATTGTTAATAGACAACAATCATTTGTTCAACTCTTCCACACTCACTTTACGGAATTCAAAATTATAATACTTGTCTTTCATAATTTGGTCAGATATACTTGGATGTGTAGTGTCATCAATTGTTGCTGGCATGTCATGCCTAAATTAGCTAATCTTGCCAATGAAAAAATTATAAAAGTAGTTGGCAATATCAGTTGGTTTTGTGATGAATGAGCCATCTGATTCAATGAATGATGGAGCTGAGTTTGCCTTTTTGCCCAAAATCTCATTTAATATGCTCTAAAGCTTTTTAATATCATTCTTTATGTCATTTATTCTTGTTTCATAGTGTTGTTTCTTCTTCTTTTCATTCAGTTTAGTCACATGATTTTTCAATTTGCAATACGTTTGCCAATCGGTTGTGCAGCCAGACTTATTTGCTATTCCTTTTGCCTCATCCCTCTCAAGCATACAATTTTTCAATTCCTCATCAATCCACAGGGATTTAACCGTTTTTACAGTCATGTCCTTAATGGGTGCATGCTTATTAGTAACTGGAATAAGCAATTTCATAAATGTGTCAAGTGCAGCGTCTGGTTGCTCTTCATTACACACCACGGACCAACAAATATTCTTTACATCAACAACATAGGAATCACTACAAAACGTATTGTATGACCTCTTATACACTATATTAGGCCCAGCCTTTGGAACTTTGGTTTTCCTAGATATGGCTACTATATTGTGATCACAACATCCAATGGATTTGGATACTGCTTTCAAACAAATCTCTGCAGCATTATTAAAGATATGATCAATACATGTTGATGACTTCATTCCTGTACTGTTTGTAACCACCCTGGTAGGTTAACTGATAACCTGAACCAGGTTGCAGGCACTCGTTACAGTTTGAAGCTTTCTCTTGAGTGGGCAGCCTGATGAAAGCCAGTCAATATTTAAAATCACCCAGAAAGTATACCTCTCTATTCATATCACATACATTATCAAGCATTTCACACATGTTATTCAGATACTAACTGTTAACACTTGGTGGTCTATAGCAGCTTCCCACCAGAATGGGCTTTAGGTGAGGCAGGTGAACCTTTAGCCATATTGCTTCAACAGTATTTAACATGAGATCCTCTCTAATATTCACAGGAATGTGGTTCTGTATATAAACAGCAACACCTCCACCATTGGCATTTCTATCTTTTCTGTAAATGTTATAACCTTGTATTGCTACCACATCAAAGGTATTATCTATGTGAGTTTCAGAGAGTCAGAATATGAATGTCATCTGTTACTAGCAAATTATTAATTTCATGAACCTTGTTTGTTAAGGTACATATGTTAACGTGGGCTATTTTGAGCACTTTTCTTCTGGGATGCTTACTTGTTTTTATTGCTTTACTGGGAAGCTTAGCAGCAGTAGATGTGCTCATGTTCTTTATGTTAGTGCAGGGTGAGCTGCACACAGTGGCCTTCCTCCTCGGGCACACCGGCTCAGTGCTAACAGTATAAATCTGGTTCTTAGGCACATGATTACTGCACACAATAGCTGTAGGATCAGCAGAGGCATTCAGGGCAGTTAGAGGGACACTCATTAGGTTACTTATATTGTGTCTACCGACGACCCCTGAAGCATTTTGACAACTCTGATAACCATCTCGTGGGTTGACAGAAATACTTTCCCCAAAACCTTCTCAATTAAAGGTTAACTGCAAAGTAGGGTTACCTGGCAGAAGTATATCATGAGTAAGTATATCATTTGTATCTACGATTTGTTATTTGCTAACTTTACCGTGAAATGAGCAGCAACAGTACAGAACCATAGACCAGCACAGTAGACTGCACATTACTCACTCGCCAGATGCGCAACTAAAAGGGACTTACATTCAAAAATAAATGTGTTTGTTTTCTTCCAGACCTAAACAAATTGGTCTTCTGGTGTGATTTCATCATTGACATGGAGCCTAGCAGTAGGCAGAGGAGCAGTGCCACCAACACACACACACACACACACACACAACCCCCCCCCCCACACACACACACACAACCCCCCCCCACACACACACAACCCCCAGCTTGAAGCCTGCTTGACAGAGACGCTAAGCTGCTAGCCATCAAGCTAACGGAGTTAGTCCCAGATGAGTTTTCCAATGGAGCCCTCTTTGTCTGGAGAACTAAATGAACGGTTCCAGCGCTGTAGGAGCTGTATCTACTACGCTTTGTTTCGGGACAAACCGGATCACTCGGAGTTCCAATGCGCCAATTGTTTGCTTGCCGAGGATTATAGGCTTGAGGTGGCTTCCTTGATCACGCAGGTCGCCAGCCTACGTAAGAAACTGTGGAAAACGCAGAGTGGAATGTTTACCTTTTCTACGCCGGTGGCTGGACGGCGTTCGCGCTTGTTGGATGCATCTCCGCCTCGTCCTTCTCGCCAGTCGTGATTTTGGGCAGCTCCCATGGTAAGAAATGTGACCGTTCCTGGTGCAAAAACAATGTCCTATCCCGGAGCTCGAGTAAATTACATTACTAAGCTGCAACCGAATGTACTACGTCAGGACATGGAAATGGATTCCACCGTAGTCCATGTGGGTTTTAATGACATTATGAAGGGCAGCTCTGAACAGTTTTAACTCGATTTTAAAAGAGCTGATTGACTTTCTGCTAGACACTAACAAATAACCCATCATATCTGTCCCTGTGCCCTCTCTGAATCGTGGAATTGAACGCTTTAGCAGGATTCTTGCTCTTCACAATTGGCTACGTGATTATTGCAGCTCAATGGGTGTAACTTTTGTTGACAATTTCGATACCTTTTGGAAACAAAACACGTTTTATAAGAAGGATGGGATCCACCCAAATCATTTGGGTTCCTGGATCCTTTCACAGCATTATAAGGCTGCATTGAGACAATGACTTAGCAATGACCCAAGCCCAGCTCAGCTAATCCCTACCACTGTGACGCAGAGTTGTCAAAATGCTTCAGCAAATGTACATTACATCAGGGGCGTCGGTAGACACAATATAAGTAACCTAATGTATGGTGCTATTAAACATTTTGTATTGTAGATAGGTAGTGGTGTAATAATGTCATATGATGTACTGTTTTATATTTTGTTTTATATGTAATTTAAGTGCTTTAATATGTTTGGACCACAGAAAGAGTAGCTGCTGCCTTGGCATTATTAGGGATCCCTAATAAATACACCCCCCCCCCCCCCCCCCCACACCCCACACACACACACACAAACACACACACACACACACAGATAAAGACTGAATTCTCTTATTTACCAGTGAGGCGATGCCCAGCAGTAGTCCCAGCAGCAGCCCCACCATGTATAGTCCCACCGAGCGTACCAGCATGGTGACCAGGCCACAGAGGGTACCGATACCCAGGCCGATGCCCACCGAGGCCTCCACACTCAGCTGGGTGTCCAAGACACGCTCCTTATAACACAGCAGGAAGATGACGACGGAGCCAAACATCAAGCCTGTTAGGAACATCACCGCCTTGAAGCAACGGTAGCCTGAGGGGAGGAGAGGAGAGAGACAGGTTAAAGCCTGAGGAGAGGAGAGGAGAGAGAGAGACAGGTTAAAGCCTGATGAGAGGAGAGGAGAGAGAGAGACAGGTTAAAGCCTGAGGGGAGGAGAGGAGAGAGACAGGTTAAAGCCTGAGGAGAGGAGAGGAGAGGAGAGAGACAGGTTAAAGCCTGAGGAGAGGAGAGGAGAGAGAGAGACAGGTTAAAGCCTGAGGGGAGGAGAGGAGAGAGACAGGTTAAAGCCTGAGGGGAGGAGAGGAGAGAGAGACAGGTTAAAGCCTGAGGAGAGGAGAGGAGAGAGAGAGACAGGTTAAAGCCTGAGAGGAGGAGAGGAGAGAGAGACAGGTTAAAGCCTGAGAGGAGGAGAGAGAGAGACAGGTTAAAGCCTGAGGGGAGGAGAGGAGAGAGAGACAGGTTAAAGCCTGAGGGGAGGAGAGGAGAGAGAGACAGGTTAAAGCCTGAGAGGAGGAGAGAGAGAGACAGGTTAAAGCCTGAGGGGAGGAGAGGAGAGAGAGAGACAGGTTAAAGCCTGAGGAGAGGAGAGAGACAGGTTAAAGCCTGAGAGAAGGAGAGAGAGAGACAGGTTAAAGCCTGAGGGGAGGAAAGAGAGAGACAGGTTAAAGCCTGAGGGGAGGAGAGAGACAGGTTAAAGCCTGAGGGGAGGAGAGAGAGAGACAGGTTAAAGCCTGAGGGGAGGAGAGAGACAGGTTAAAGCCTGAGAGGAGGAGAGAGAGAGACAGGTTAAAGCCTGAGAGAAGGAGAGAGAGAGACAGGTTAAAGCCTGAGGGGAGGAAAGAGAGAGACAGGTTAAAGCCTGAGGGGAGGAGAGAGACAGGTTAAAGCCTGAGAGGAGGAGAGAGAGAGACAGGTTAAAGCCTGAGGGGAGGAGAGAGACAGGTTAAAGCCTGAGAGGAGGAGAGGAGAGAGACAGGTTAAAGCCTGAGAGGAGGAGAGGAGAGAGACAGGTTAAAGCCTGAGAGGAGGAGAGAGACAGGTTAAAGCCTGAGGAGAGGAGAGAGAGAGACAGGTTAAAGCCTGAGGGGAGGAGAGAGACAGACAGGTTAAAGCCTGAGGGGAGGAGAGAGACAGGTTAAAGCCTGAGAGGAGGAGAGGAGAGAGAGAGACAGGTTAAAGCCTGAGGGGTGGAGAGGAGAGAGACAGGTTAAAGCCTGAGGGGAGGAGAGAGAGAGACAGGTTAAAGCCTGAGGGGAGGAGAGAGAGAGACAGGTTAAAGCCTGAGGGGTGGAGAGGAGAGAGAGACAGGTTAAAGCCTGAGAGGAGGAGAGAGAGAGACAGGTTAAAGCCTGAGGAGAGGAGAGAGAGACAGGTTAAAGCCTGAGAGAAGGAGAGAGAGAGACAGGTTAAAGCCTGAGAGGAGGAGAGGAGAGAGACAGGTTAAAGCCTGAGAGAAGGAGAGAGAGAGACAGGTTAAAGCCTGAGGGGAGGAGAGAGACAGGTTAAAGCCTGAGAGGAGGAGAGGAGAGAGAGGTTAAAGCCTGAGGAGAGGAGAGAGAGACAGGTTAAAGCCTGAGAGAAGGAGAGAGAGAGACAGGTTAAAGCCTGAGGGGAGGAGAGAGAGAGACAGGTTAAAGCCTGAGGGGAGGAGAGAGACAGACAGGTTAAAGCCTGAGGGGAGGAGAGAGACAGGTTAAAGCCTGAGAGGAGGAGAGGAGAGAGAGAGACAGGTTAAAGCCTGAGGGGAGGAGAGAGACAGGTTAAAGCCTGAGAGGAGGAGAGGAGAGAGACAGGTTAAAGCCTGAGAGGAGGAGAGGAGAGAGACAGGTTAAAGCCTGAGGGGAGGAGAGAGAGAGACAGGTTAAAGCCTGAGAGAAGGAGAGAGAGAGACAGGTTAAAGCCTGAGGGGAGGAGAGGAGAGAGAGAGACAGGTTAAAGCCTGAGAGAAGGAGAGGAGAGAGAGAGACAGGTTAAAGCCTGAGAGAAGGAGAAGAGAGAGAGAGAGACAGGTTAAAGCCTGAGAGAAGGAGAGGAGAAGAGAGAGACAGGTTAAAGCCTGAGAGGAGGAGAGGAGAGAGAGAGAGACAGGTTAAAGCCTGAGAGAAGGAGAGGAGAGAGAGAGAGACAGGTTAAAGCCTGAGAGAAGGAGAGGAGAGAGACAGGTTAAAGCCTGAGGAGAGGAGAGAGAGACAGGTTAAAGCCTGAGGGGAGGAGAGAGAGACAGGTTAAAGCCTGAGGGGAGGAGAGAGACAGGTTGAAGCCTGAGGGGAGGAGAGAGAGACAGGTTAAAGCCTGAGGGGAGGAGAGAGACAGGTTGAAGCCTGAGGGGAGGAGAGAGAGACAGGTTAAAGCCTGAGGGGAGGAGAGAGACAGGTTAAAGCCTGAGGAGAGGAGAGACAGGTTAAAGCCTGAGGGGAGGAGAGAGAGACAGGTTAAAGCCTGAGGGGAGGAGAGAGACAGGTTGAAGCCTGAGGAGAGGAGAGAGAGACAGGTTAAAGCCTGAGGGGAGGAGAGAGAGAGACAGGTTAAAGCCTGAGGGGAGGAGAGACAGGTTAAAGCATGAGGGGAGGAGAGAGACAGATAAGAGCCTGGAGGATAGACAGACAGAGATGAGACAGGTTAGAGTCTGAAGGACAGACAGACAGGTTAGAGCCTGATGGAGAGACAGACAGACAGGTAAGAGCCTGAAGGACAGACAGGAGACAGAAAGACTGGTTAGAGCCTGAAGGATAGACAGGAGAAAGACAGACAGGTTAGAGCCTGCAATACAGACAGGCAGGAGACAGGTTATACCCGAAGGACAGACAGGAGACAGCTTAGAGCCTGAAGGACAGACAGACAGGCAGGAGACAGACAGGTTAGAGTCTGCAGGACAGACCGACAGGAGACAGGTTAGAAGGACAGACAGACAGGTTAGAGCCTGAAGGACAGACAGGAGAAAGACAGACAGGTATGAGCCTGCAGGGCAGACAGACAGCATGAAGATGATAACCAAACATCAGGCCTGTCAGGAACATCACCGGTAACCTGAGAGGAGCGAGAGAGAGACAGGTTAGGGCTGGGATGGCAACTCGTGGCCCTCATGCCTTCTGAAGGACCTCGGATCAACTTCCACCACATTTTTTAGGAACTCAGTCAGGATCTCAACCAATGATTAATATATACACTAGATGACTGGCAGGTGGTGCTGTTTTGGAGCCACCGCCTCCATCTTGGCACTCCCCCACCGTTGTAAAAAAAGATTTTGGAAGCTATAGAAATGCAGATACTAATGTCTACATGTGTTTTTAACATGTTTATTCTATTACAGACACATTAATGTATACTTTTAAATGATATTATGTGAGCTAAACTTAAAAAATAATATATATACAGTACCAGTCAAAAGTTTGGATACACCTACTCATTCAAGGTTTTTTCTCTATTTTTACTATTTTCTACATTGTAGAATAATAGTGAAGACATCAGAACTATGAAATAACACATGTTGAATCATGTAGTACCCATAAAAGTGTAAATAATAATGTATATTTGAGATTCTTCAATGTAGCCACCCTTTGCCTTGATAACAGCTTGCACACTCTTGGCATTCTCTCAACCAGCTTCATGAGGAATGCTTTTCCGACAGTCTTGAAGGAGTTCCCACATATGCTGAGCACTTGTTGACTGCTTTTCCTTCACTCTGCGGTCCAAATCATCCCAAACCATCTCAATTGGGTTGAGGACGGGTGATTGTGGAGGCCAGGTCATTTGATGCAGCACTCCATCACTCTCCTTCTTGGTCAAATAGCCCTTACACAGCCTGGAGGTGTGCTTTGGGTCATTGTCCTGTTGAAAAACAAATGATAGTCCCACTAAGCGCAAACCAGATGGGATGGCGTATCGCTGCAGAATGCTGTGGTAGCCATGCTGGTTAAATGTGCCATGAATTCTAAATAAATCACTGACAGTGTCACCAGCAAAGCACCCCCACACCATAACACCTCCTCCTCCATTCTTCACGGTTGGAATCACACATGCGGAGATCATCCGTTCACCTATTCTGCGTCTCACAAAGACGGCGGTTGGAACCAAAAATCTCCAATTTTGACTCCAGACTAAAGGACAGATTTCCACCGGTCTAATGTCCATTGCTCGTGTTTCTTGGCCCAAGCAGGTCTCTTCTTATTATTGGTGTCCTTTAGTAGTGGTTTCTTTGCAGCAATTCAACCATGAAAGCCTGATTCACGCAGTCTCCTCTGAACAGTTGATGTTGAAATGTGTCTGTTACTTGAACTCTGTGAAGCATTTATTTGGGCTGCAATCTAAGGTTCAGTTAACTCTAATGAACTTATCCTCTGCAGCAGAGGTAACGCTGGGTCTTCCTTTCCTGTGGCGGTGAGAGCAAGTTTCATCATAGCGCTTGATGGTTTTTGCGACTGCACTTGAAGAAACTTTCAAAGTTCCTGAAATGTTTAGGTTTGACTGACCTTCATGTCTTAAAGTAATGATGGACTGTCGTTTCTCTTTGCTCATTTGAGCTGAGGCCCTATGACAACTATCTGGCTGAAATCTAGCAAGACTACAGCTGAGGCCCTATGAAACAACGTCCTCTTCATCTCCTCTGAGTAAACCAGGTTATTTATCTTGTGCATTAAGTGAAGGAGGATAAAATCATTGTATTTTTCTTGCTCTAACAAAGAGGACTAACAAACTCTAACATATAGTATTTTCCCTTCTCTTGGTTTGTCTTGATCATGGAACAGATTGGGAAGTGACAACCATGGTGAGACGACAGCTGTTATGTTAGTTATAAACCAACAGCAATTAACTGAGATTGCTCGCTCAGATTTGAGACGATGTGACAGTGTTTTTATCCACATTAAAACTTATGCGGTTATGGTTATTCATGTAAATAAGAATGGACAAGGTCAACATGTTGTTGTGGATTGGTTGGTTGCTGCTGATGATGAGTTAAGATGAACTCAATGTAATTCTGATGGAAAATGGACAATACACATTACATTCTACATTACATATCTCTATGGTCTTACCAAAGAAGCAGGTTGTGTTAACTTCCCACTGGGCACAGACGTCAGTTCAACGTACAGTTTTTGATTTATATTTGGTTGAGTTGTCAACTAACCTGAATTCAACGTGAAATCAACAAAAAATGTCACCATGTCATTGGATATAGGTTCAAAAGTGAGGTGGAAAAAAAATACAAAATTCCGTTATGTTGATGAGTTTTTTCAAATCCAAACAGTTTTCTATGTTGATTCAACGTCATCACATATCATGTTTTTTTTTTTTTGTAGAAATGACGTGGAAACAATGTTGATTCAACCAGTTTTTGCCCAGTGCGATAGCTCTGTTGTAAATCTATAACAGGATTATCATCTTACCAAAGAAGCAGTATATGATGCCGAAGAGGCAGCACATGGAGCAGACCACAGAGGGAACGATCTCGTAGCGACGCTCTATGGCCTCGTCACAGCTGACCACCCTCTCAGGGCTCCCCGGGTCATGTGGTGGAGGGGCCAGTTTGAAGGCCAGCAGCTGAGGCCAGGATGTAGATGATGTCATGGTGACTAGGGTATTAAGGGAGGGAGGATCAGGGGTTAGGGGTTAAATAGGTGGGCCGGGACAGGGAGGATCAGGGGCTAGGGGTTAAATAGGTGGGCCGGGACAGGGAGGATCAGGGGTTAGGGGTTAAATAGGTGGGCCGGGACAGGGAGGATCAGGGGTTAGGGGTTAAATAGGTGGGCCGGGACAGGGAGGATCAGGGAGTGATGTTACCCATCCAAAACGATCCACCTGAGAGAAAGAGAGAGAGCGAGTCTGAGTTTGAACACAACTATACAAATCCTTTAGATACAGATAAAACTAATAACACAAAATAATCTTATTTCAGTTGTTTCTGAGAGAAAAGAGAGAGAGAGAGAGAGAGAGAGAGAGAGAGAGAGAGAGAGAGAGAGAGAGAGAGAGAAAGAGCGAGAGAGAGAGACATAGCATTATTGATTGGATGTTTATGCATTAGTGAGGGCTGAGCGAGGCAGCATACGTTTCATCCTCCTCCCATACTCTCTGAGAAGCCATACATTCACAACACATCAGGCCCATAATGCACTGCATGTACTGTACGTACAAACCATTTACTCCTCCTAACTACTCATTTCCATTCTCTACACACAATTTATATCTCTATATCTACCAGCGTGTCCTGGGTGTGTCCCTAATGGCACCATATTCCCTATCTAGTGCACTACCTTTGACCAGAGCCCTGTTAAAAAATAGTGCACTACATAGGGGATAGGGTGACATTTGGGACAAAGCGCTTGTCCATTTTCTCCTCTCTGATTCAAACCTGCAGGTCAGTCCACCTGCCATGTAGGACCATGTGACTCACCACTCCGCAGGTCACGCAGACAGCTGAGATGATCCCCCCCAGGACTCCCCCACTCCACTCTCGACCCTCCCCTCCACCTCCTCCCTCTCCCCTCCCCCCACCTCCTCTCCCCACCCCCCCTCCATCTCCTCCTCCCTCCATCTCCTCCCACCCCCCTCCCCCCACCTCCCCTCCCCCCACCCCTCTCCCCTCCACTCCACGCCTCCACCCCCCCTCCACCTCCCCTCCCCTCCATCTCTCCTCCTCCCCCTCCCCTCCCCTCCCATCTCCTCCCTCTCCTCCTCCTCCTCCTTCCATCATCTCCTCCTCTCCCCTCCACCTCCTCCTCCTCCTCCATCTCCTCCTCTCCTCCTCCTCCTCCCCTCCATCCCTTCCTTCCTACCTTCCTTACTTCCTTCCTTCCTTTGCCTCTTCCTTCCTCCACTTCTCATAGCCAGTTAGACAAAGGGAGCTGGCTGAACATGGCCATGCCTGGCTGCACAGAGAGGTCAAAGCCATGTTGCTCTTATCACCACCTGGCCTGCTGTAAGCTGCAGTCTCACAGAAACATCACCACCTTGCCTGGCCTGGTTCTCTTTTAAAGTTGTGAATACGTAAACTTATTTTGTCTTTTTGACACTAAATTGCGTTATGTATTCTGAACTATGACAATTGAAGTTACGTGAACATTAATATTTGTTGTAGTGAACATAAAAATGTAGGGCCTCTTCTACTTAAATTATTAACATTCATTGTTAATAATTGTGGTCCTCTGTAGCTCAGCTGGTAGAGCACGGCGCTTGTAACGCCAAGGTAGTGGGTTCGATCCCCGGGACCACCCATACACAAAAAATAAATTATGCACGCATGACTGTAAGTCGCTTTGGATAAAAGCGTCTGCTAAATGGCATATTATATTATATTGTTGTTTTTTTCAAGTGTAAGTAGTTCTGATTAGTAATGTTCAGTGGTCGTGTCTTAATGTTTAACATTGTTTCATGTTTTTGACGATTTGTCATTTGAACCCACTTTAGCAGGCGTTGTTGAGCAGTAACTGGAGGTAGAGCTATAACCAGTCATTGTTGAGGACATTGCTCATTCCTCTAACAGTAACTAGCGGTAAAGCTGTACTCCTTACAAGACTGATTAAGCAGGTAGCTTAGTGGTTAAGAGTGTTGTGCCACTAACCGAAAGGTCGCTGGTTCTAATCCCCGAGCCGACCAGGTGAAAAATCAGTCGATGTGCCCTTGAGCAAGGCACTTAACCCTAATTGCTCCTGTAAGTCGCTCTGGATAAGAGTGTCTGCTAAATGACAAACAAATATATATATATATTTTTAAATAATGCATTAGCCTCATTAAGAGTGGTGAACATGACCTTGTTGATGGTGGGAATGGCTTGTCACATTATTGAACGTCAACTTGCTTGACGGTTTTAATATCCGTTCATCACGATCAATTACACCTCATAGCACAACAAACTGCTTAACACTATTTTAGAACTATACTTTTCTTTCTTCAAACATCCATACAACATTGTGTATGAGTATCATAAAGAAGAAAAAAAAAAGTGTTACCCACAATCCTCTAAAAACAGAGGCACATGGTCCATTTAAAGACATGCTCCGGAACTTTGTCAACTACTAAGTATTTTTTCAACCTCCCGCATTGGGCTGGATGTGTCATTGTGTAGTTCATACATGCATTATCTATGACCAGAATTACTGTCTTACCTCAATTAGCCACAAAATCCCTAGTTTGAAAGCAACTGTTTTGTTAGACTTACATTTCAAAAACTAAACGCATTGCATTTGGGACAAATCATTCACTAAACCCTAAGCCTCAACTAAATCTTGTAATAAATAATGTGGAAATTGAGCAAGTTGAGGAGACTAAACTGCTTGGAGTAACCCTGGATTGTAAACTGTCATGGTCAAAACATGTTGATGCAACAGTAGCTAAGATGGGGAGAAGTCTGTCCATAATAAAGCGCTGCTCTACCTTCTTAACAGCACTATCAACAAGGCAGGTCCTACAGGCCCTAGTTTTGTTGCACCTGGACTACTGTTCAGTCGTGTGGTCATTGCCACAAAGAGGGACTTAGGAAAATTGCAACTGGCTCAGAACACGGCAGCACGGCTGGCCCTTGGATGTACACAGAGAACTAACATTAATAATATGCATGTCAATCTCTCCTGGCTCAAAGTGGAGGAGCGATTGACTTCATCACTACTTGTATTTGTGAGAGGTATTGACATGTTGAAAGCACCGAGCTGTCTGTTTAAACGACTAGCACACAGCTCAGACACCCATGCATACCCCACAAGACATGCCACCAGAGGTCTCTTCACAGTCCCCCAAGTCCAGAACAGACTATGGGAGGCGCACAGTACTACATAGAGCCATGACTACATGGAACTCTATTCCACATCAGGTAACTGATGCAAGCAGTAGAATCAGATTTAAAAAACAGATAAAAATACACCTAATGGAACAACGGGGACTGTGAAGCAACACAAACATAGACACATGCATACACACACACACACACATTATAACATACGCACTATACACACATGTACACATGGATTTTGAGTTGTAGATATGTGGTAGTAGAGTAGAGGCCTGAGGGCACACACTTAATGTGTTGTGAAATCTGTTATGAATGTATTGTAATGTTTTTTTAAAATGTATAAGTGCCTTCATTTTGCATTCCTCTAGCAGTAACTGCAGGTAGAGCTGTAATCAGTCATGGTTGAGGACATTGCTCATTCCTCTAACAGTAACTAGCGGTAAAGCTGTACTCCATACAAGACTGATTAAGCAGGTAGCTTAGTGGTTAAGAGCGTTGTGCCAGTAACCGAAAGGTTGCTGGTTCTAATCCCTGAGCCGACTAGGTGAAAAATCAGGAAGAGTAGCTGATTCCTTGGCAGCAGCCAATGGGGATCCATAATAAATACAAACAAACACGAACTGTTTTTCTGGAAGCTGTGCTGCACCCTCTTCACTAAATATCCCCCTATGTGGGCCAGCCTCCTAGCAATTCCAGCTCTAACCAATGAGCTTCAGCCATTTGAGTGACAGCTAGAAAGAGACCATGCACACACAGCAGAGAGAGAGAGAGAGCAATGACGTTGTGCACAAATCTGCACATATGTGATGTAGTATGCAATTTTCGGGGCACACTTTTGGCTCATATGCACTACTTTCAGAACTACTGGCTAAAGCTATACAAAAGTACCGGAGAATCTCTTTAAAAGGTCAATTGCCCCCCCTTAGAACCAACTTCTCCTTGAGCGGTAGTGTTCTGTCCTCTTAAACCGACCGTTGGTCTGGAGTAGGACTAGACAGGGTTAAATAGTGGAATGGGGGGTGGTGCGTTTGTTAGAGAGGGCTAATAGTTGGCAGCGCAATTTTGTATTACTGTATCAAGAATTTAATGTACACGTCTGCACACACCATTGCAGTAGGTGGAGGTGTATGCACCAAAAAACGGATGCGATCCGCGACCCAATCCCAAAGAAGAAGAAGAAGAACCAAACTTCTATGCTTTTAAACGTCCTATGTGCCAATCGATATGAGTCAGAAACATTAATTCTAGTGGCAAATGTACTACAAAGTGTAAATAGTATAATTGTATCATTTTGGTAATGGGGTCAGTCTCGTTCCAAAATGTAGTTTTGTGAGTGAGTTCGTCACAACTTACTGGAGGGTTGGCTATACATTCCCACTACATGGATTACTTACGTGCCCACTCTTACCAATGATGTTCAATTGTCCAGAGACAACACGTTGTGGTACGCCTCCAGCTGCCATGTGGACATCTGTTGTCAAGCCTATGGGTGCAACTCACGCACATTTCGCTCGGGAAATAGGAGTGAAAATGGGCTTCCATAAAGTTGGTGTAAACTTTCTATGCATTTCAACAATATTGCCAGATGGCCAAGAATGGATTACATCCGACACAGTCACTACTTTTACCTGTCAAACCACTGTCACTTCTCAAACCAAAGATATGATAACATATATAACACGGATTTGCAAGTTAGGTTGCCAGCTAGCATTCGGGGGCTCTGCTAACCCAAAACAACATGGCCTGTTCTCATAAAAGTTTATAGTATATTTTCTAGAGCAAAAATAAAGGATGGTACTTGTCTACTACAAATATAGCTATGGCTCTGGCAGCAAATACAATAACGTCTCAGCGAGCACTTAGTAACGTACACAGGTTGCATAGTAACGGTGTCAGCGTCGCCGGCCTGAATCTATTCCGGAGAACACCGTCCCTCTCTTAGTATATACATTACTTCCAAACTAAAAAAGTTATATGTTTATTGAGTAATTATATTTTAATTCATTCACAGGCTACGTACATAACCTGGTGGATGTGTTGTTCAGCAGCGTCTTGGGAACCCCCCAAGAACCATATTGGGAACCATACCAGGAGCTGTTCCAGAAGGCCGAGGCAGTGGCCAGACACCAGTCCCCGTTTCAGAGTAATGGAGGACACTTCAATCAGGCTGGTCACATTTGATCTCATCAATGGTCAAAATACTTCCTGTCCTGGAATTCACCCAGCCACCATTGATATAATGTAATCAGTGCTGTGTGTATGTGTGTGTTGTATGTTGTAAGGAGGTGCCACCTCCCACTGTGCCAATGGACTACTCCTGGGCCCGAGTGAGTAATGTCCACCAGTCAGTGCCATTCTGATACGTGTCCCTTGTAAATTAGCTGTGAATCATAATCTCTGATTGGCTATGTTCAACCGTGTATTTACTATTGGCTTCCATGACACTCTCTCTCTCTCTCTCGTTCTCTCTATTTACTATTGGCTTCCATGACACTCTCTCTCTCTCTCATTCTCTCTATTTACTATTGGCTTCCATGACACTCTCTCTCTCTCTCTCGTTCTCTCTATTTACTATTGGCTTCCATGACACTCTCTCTCTCTCTCTCGTTCTCTCTATTTACTATTGGCTTCCATGACACTCTCTCTCTCTCTCATTCTCTCTATTTACTATTGGCTTCCATGACACTCTCTCTCTCTCTTTCTCTCTATTTACTGTTGGCTTCCATGACTCTCTCTCTCTCTCTCTCTCTCTCTCTCGCTCTATTTACTGTTGGCTTCCATGACTGTATAATGACAGTCTTTCTCTCTCTCCCTCTGTGATATAGGAGCTGGGTCAGAAATAGGAGCCGAAGACAGGCTCCTTCATGACCAGTATCTGTGACGAGAGGCCTGGAGCTTATCTACGCTGCCATGACCAGTATCTGTGACGAGAGGCCTGGAGCTTATCTACGCTGCCATGACCAGTATCT